TTCAAAACTTATACTGCGTAATCCTCTCCCCGTACTAACTCTGATCCTACTCCACTAATCCTAGAACTGACTATGCCGCTAAAATCGCCCGGTTAAAAAAAAACGTCAAAATCGATCCCTCCCTCGTCTGAATCGGGTCAGAAACGAGGGAGATAGACATTTCCTTACTCTCCCCCTTTCTCAGTCCCGACTACTTCGCGCACCTCGTTTTCTACTAACAACTAATCTACTTACTTTTCACTAAAACTAACATCACTGTCGAGCTYGCCCGGCCARGAAAAAACTAAAACTAGCTTCTCAAATCGCGAAAAACAGTCAAAGATCGAGCGAGTTTTTGCAACTTCCCTCTCCCCCGACATAGCTCCCGCACAGTAGTTTTCTCGACTACCTCCCTCTATACTGTTTTTCTCGGTGTTCTGACCTCACCAACAGGCTCGCAGCACTCCAGAACCCCCATTTAGTACGTCACCTTGCCAAAAACGACCAAGGAACGCCCGCGTCGGCTAACTTTTTACTCCCTCCACTCCTACTCCCGCCATAGCTCCGCGCGGGAGTTGTTTTCTTTCTAACACTAATCCTACTTAACTAATACTAAAACCGACACTACCCCGTGATTCGCCCGGGGTCAAAACCCCGGGAATGCCTCTTTTCTTTCTCGATTCCGTCGAGGAACGAGAGGGTTATGCCCTTTAGACCGCGCCCGTCTCAGTATCCCACCATCTCCACTTTTGCACGTATCCGGCGCACTTTCCCATCCAGATGCATTCGCCTCCCTCATTCCTTCACTCCACTTACCACTCCAGGCGCCCGTCACCCCGCTTCCTCTGCTCGCTACTCCGACACCCGTCGTTGCTGCGCTCTCCGGCCACCCCTTCGGCTCCGCTACCTGTCCTTGCTGCTCTAGTTTAGCGCATGTCGTTTGCCCTGCTCGTCTTCTCCTTTGCTTCGCTGTGCCAACCTTCGAATGTACCCGGCGCAATTTCGCGCCAGGTTCATCTCCCTTTCCTTAGCCTTAGTTTTCCCCATGCTCTCTTCCGACAGTCCCCTTCCCCGTCTCGCTTTCCTCTGCCTCCCTTAGGCTAGCGCYGCTCTTGGTCGTGTAGTAGCCCGGTAGCAGTGGCTCTCGCGGTGTGTCCAAGCAGCTCCGGCTGCCCTGAGAGAAACTTCGAAGGGAACCAGCTACTAGACGGTTCGATTGGTCTTTCGCCCCTATGCCCAAGTCCGACGAACGATTTGCGCAGCAGCACCGCTGCGAGCCTCTGCTACGGCGCCCCCTCTCTCTGCACATGTAATACCTGATGCAGTTTCCCGCCCGGGTTCACTCACCCGGTCATTGCCTCCTCCCGGTCTGTCCCTTGGGACCGACCCAGTCGGGTGGAATCGGCCACTACCTCGGCTGTTAGCGGCCGCCCACAGATGGGTAAAGACCATGGAAGCGAGGGCRCGGGTCTATTGCAGGCCCGAAACACGGCTCYAGACGGAGCGGTTTCAATGCAGATCTTTAGTGGTAGTAGCAAACTTTCAAATGAGAACTTTAAACCCCCGCCCCCGCGGCGGAGGGTTCCGGGAAAAACCAGGTCACACCGCAACCCCGCCTTGGTACCCCAACCGCTACCCAAGTCTCAGGAGCATTGTCTTCTTCCGACGGCCTTCTTTCCCGTAATCACCCTCACCGTCGAAAGTAYCCGGCGCAATATCGCGCCCGGGTTCATCCAACTCCCTCTGCCTTGCTTTCGGCCGGCCCATTCGCTGCGCTATCACTCCGTCTCYCAGCCGGGTTGACGTCACCTCGGCGCCTCAAACGTGGTACGGTCCGACAGTCAGTCAAATGCCAAAGTGCAAAATGCGYCTSGCTGTCAGGCTTCCTCCGCTATATCCGTACCGTCYWTGCGCAGGGGCCATGCTAATCTTCTGTGTATCGCTYCAATTTTTGACGGATGTCCCATAGGACCCGACCGRAGCAGCGCTCCCACGGCAACCCCGTAGCCACAACCGCTGCGGTGCCACCTTAACAGATGCCCCCTGCCGCGGTAACMCCCCGCCGTAGAGCGTTGCCCAACCACGCCTGCCGGCCTAAGAGAAACTTCGGAATGAGCTAGCTACAAGACGGTTCGTTTAGTCTTTCGCCCCTATACTTAAGCCCCTATGGGTGGACTGCATAGTAGTGCTACAGCCACCCCTGTCGTAAATACCCCCGGCTTACCGCGCACACTCGGGCCGCCGTGCCCATCGCGCCCGCGACCAATTTCCGATCATCCGGGTTTGAACTCGGATCTGTATTTCAACAGTTCATGGGTGTACCCACTGGGCTAAAGACTCTTGGGTGCCTGCTACACCTATGGTACCGCGCTCCGGGCCAAAACGGGACCGCGCATAACAATAAAGGAAAAACAAATAAATAAATTTAAAAAAAAAAAGAAAAAAAAAAAGACATAAAATATCATCAATAAGGGCCCCTATGCAAGGTACGGGGACTGCTAAAGCCCCACCGGTCCCGTGGATCGGCCCCGCCGCTACGTCTGTCAACAAAAACCAGAGGGGGATAGCCCGTCGACCCTCAACCCCTCGGTTTTCTCCGCACGCTCCGCTGCAGTTGTTACTCGGAGGCCCGCCGACCTCGACCCCAGAACCTCCGTATCAATAGTCCGATGCCGTAACCTATAGGGCTAAGCCCAAACCTGAGACCAAAACACGTCGAATGCCATATAAGGCGCTACGGCGCGGCGCTCAGGACCAATAAATTGGCTGCGTAGCTCTCAGTACCCGCGCCGGTTCACTTACACGGTGCCATAATCGCCCTGCGCGCTATCCCACGATGCCGTCGTCGGGGTTGCTCTCCGCACGCGCGCTCGACTCTGTCAAAGGTACCAATCAAAAGAAAATATCCTTAATTTTCTGCTTGATCAGAAAAATAAATAAATAATAATAATAAGCAAAACGACCGAGGTCCGGATCGGCCTTACGATYAACAACAGAAAAGAATCACGCGCGCAACCTGCGCGCCCACGCACTCGCTATTGTGGTCAACCACCCAATCAACGCAATTACAGACGCAGCCGCGCTTAGCGCGGTATACTTAAATTCTAAGCCAAAACCGTTTTTCTATTACTTGCAAAAACCAGGGCGGATACCCTTGTAAGGGTATTTGCACCGACAACCTTACCGGACCATATTAAGCGACGTCCTCTTCGCTTTGCCAAATCTGAAAGCTATAAATCCATTCACACTCCAAATGCTGACGAAAGAAGTGAGTCAATCCGATTAGCCGACGAACACAGGGTAGAGGCCTCCATCAAACCATGCCTCCACAACTATATGCTGCCAGGTTTCGAACCCAGGCCTATTACTGCCCAGAAATTAGGATGCTGACAACATAAGTTCCAAAGACCTTCCCAATCGTCCTCTCCCCGGTCCTAGACAACCTTCGGCTCGTCGTTGGGTGTCCCTAGTTCTGGCAAAAACTAGGGACGCGGGCCTTAACTGAGACCTTTGAAGGCACTCTCGCCTTCCTTCTCAAAACCTCTCGCAATCAAATACACATAAGTATATATGTAAACTTAATATCCACTCCGCTCTTTCTGCAGTCTAGTACAGAAAGGCCAGGTCTCCATCTTGGCCCACCATAGCCTGGTTGATCGGACCAGGACTACGACCCACCGCATTGTTATTTAACGGCAGTACCCTCGTTGGTTACGCAACGATAGGGTTTCTCCTGATAAGCACTCAATCAGGACCTCCCAAAATCTCAACCTTCATTATCCCACGGAGTAATTTCCCTGGGGCGGGTAACTCCCCTTAAACTCTTACCCCGCGGTCCCGCAACCAGGTTGCGCCGGCTAGCAGCCATCCAATGGGGGTTACGCCCTAGAGGTATTAACTTCTTTTCCGTTAGCTTGGTCTTTCTTCAATATGTCTCAGAATTAGCACAAGTGGTTAAACGGGTGCGTCGCAAAACAAAATCACAGGCCCACTGCGCGATACGCAGGGGTCCGAAGGCATTTTACCAGCCCTCCCTCAATAGGCATGGCATCCTTCGTACGCTTACAAACAAAATCACCGCTAAATCCACCAGGCCGTGACCCCTGACTTGATCAGAGCCAGCAGCCACTCACCCTGAGACATCTCTCGCCCTGCACTCATTGCGACTTTTTCAAACATTCCAAAGAGTGGCCCCTTTTCGTCAGACTTTATCACTCATCAGACAACTTACCATGTCATAAATCTGTTTCCTCACTTTTGAAGGTGAGTCTCCCAACAACAAAAACATCCCCTTTTGCCAAAAATCCAAAGGGCTCTCATCATAAGCAAAACACCCCCTCTTCCAAAAATCACGAGTGGTCTCGCCACAAAACAAAACACCCCCTCTTCCAAAAATCACGAGGGGTCTTATCATAACCCACATTGTCACAAAAGCATCCCCTTCTCCAAAATGCAAGGGGGCTTATCATAAACAAAATCACTGAGAGACCATCTTATGGGTCCTCATCACAGCTTAAGCATTCAATAATCAACATGATAGGCATTTTGAGCCTCTTGGGTTCATAAATCTTCAAAATCCTCACAACCTTTCACAGACGGACTGCACTTCCTCCCCTTATACTCCGCCCTATCAGCTGCCCGTGGGCAAGTCGCACAAGTATACCGAGGAGTAGACAGTTTTACTTACAATCATATTCACAATACCCAAGATACATAAAAAGTTTTTCACACATTGTCCACACAAACTCATTATACATCAGAGTACAACCACACACGTGAGAGAGACAAGTGATCGTCACATATAAGAATGGTCCCTGAAGGAAACCTCATCATGATATATACTCAGGGAAATAAAATGTCTCACACAGAAAACCTAAATATATACATGCCTCATCTAAACCACCCTGACCCTCAAAACCCCAACTCAGTAGGAACACAAAAGTTCAAATCTACACTAGTAGCAATCATCAAAAAAATCCTCTAAATCTAAGAGGGTATCACACATACCCTAAGCTGATGCCTTACAAGATACTCGCCCACCTATATAGACAAACCGACACTATCTCCTCAATTCCTCCTGGTTTTGCCTATATAACTGAGTCCTAAGTCCATCTGCGGACTTCTCTACTATCCTACCCCCTGCCTCTGAGACCTTCCCTGCTGCCTTATCCTCAAGGAACTCGAGACAGCCCAGAGCATGATGCACACTCCTCTTGCAGTAGAAACATAACTGATCAACCTTCCTCCTGAACTTCTTCTTCCTGGGCTGAGGAGGTGGTGATGAAGGAGATCCTGCCAAGGTACTGACAACCCCCTGCTGCTCTGATTGAGGAGCTGCGGTACTAACGACCTCCTGCTGCTCTGTCCCAGGAACCGGTCTCCCAGACCCAGATCCTGTAGCCCAAAACCCCAGTCTGTTCCTCAAATCCCCTGTCACCGGGACGTACTCAGGTGTGTCCAACCTCTGAGGTTTCTTCTCGAGTGTGTCTCCTGGCACTGCTATGGGATGTTCCTCAATCCCCTCTGGCCCATACTTAGGCGTGCCTATCCTCTGGAGCCTGCTCTCGATGGCACTCTCCGCCTCAATCCCTATCTCTCTCTCAAGAGGCTCCTCTATCCTCTGCTCAGGTGAAAACAAACTCACCTCCTCCTGCATAGTATGCACCACCTCAAGGAGCACGCCCATGGATCCCTCTGCTGAGCCCTGAGCCGGCTCACTGCTAGATAGTGGCAGCCCCTCCTCTACTGCCAAAGGTACGACTGGGCCTGCCGCCGCCACTGGCAGCGTCGCGAGCTTAGTAGGGGCTCTAAACTCGAACGCCTCTCTCTCTGCTTGTCTCTGGGCTCTCGCCTCCTCTGGCTCCAGGATAACTCTCCCCATAGGTGGCTCCTGGCGAGGCTCTGCTGCAGATGGTTGTCCTGGCAATCCCTGTCCTGGCTGCCTCTGCTCTCCCTGCCTGCAGCTCTCTGGCCTGTCCACCCTTCCCTGGGTTTGCTGCCTCAAGCTCTCGATGATAGCTGTCTGGCTGGCCACCAAGGCCCTGAGTTCCTGAATTTCCATCTCCATAGCCTCCAGGCGTACTCCATGGCTTGCTTCCTTCATCTTCTTCCCTGTCAGATCGCCCTCCAGTAACAAGTGCCGGTCAAAAGTGGTCTTGGCCAGGAACTTGATTTTACGATCTAACCTCTCTTCCGCCTTCCTGGCCACCCCAAACCCGGCTCTGACTGGCAATGGAAGTTCCTCTCCTCTCTGCTCCCAGAAGTCTCTCCACATCTTATGAATCTCCGGGGCCCTAGTTGGCGCGCTGGGTGGCTGACCTGGGAGTGCTCCTGCTGCCTCCCATCTTTGCCTCTCCTGTTGCTGCTCCGAAAGCTCCCCCGCTGCCTCCAACCTCTGCCTCTCCTGCCATATCTCATTTATCCGTCTAGTTCTTCTCGCCTTCTTTTCTTCAGCCGTCTCTCCAGCTGGCGCCCTTTCCCTCGTGCGGAGGTCGACCCTCTTCGGGATTTCTGCTTCCATCTCCTTCTCGGGTTGGTACGGCTCCTGACGCGGCTCTGCGGGTGCTGGCTCCTCCAAGTCTGGATGCTCCAGGGCATAAGCTGCTAGGTGCCTATCAATCAGGGTCAAGGCTTCCCTCCTTACAGCTGCCCTTTCTCTCCTCCTGCCAGCTCTCCCCTCTGGCGATGGAGCCCTCTCTGATGAAAGAAGTGGGGCCTCCTCTCTCCACAATCTCTCCTCTGCCTGACGAGCGCTCCCTGGTGCATCCCCGAGTCTCAAACCCATTGCTGGCGCCTGTGGGGGTGTGTCCTCTCCAACCTCTATCACTTTCTTCCCTGCACGTCTCCCCATGTCGCCTAGCCTGCTCTCTTGCTGAGTACCTTGCGCCTCCTCTCGTGGCACCTCCTCTCGTGGTGCCTCCTCACGTGGCACCTCCTCTCGTGGCACCTCCTCTTGTGGTACCTCCTCTCATGGCACCCCTTCTACTTGCTCTTCATGCTTCTCATCCTGAGGCGACGCTCTCCACTGAGAGATATCCAAATGCGTCTCTAACTCCCTCAACGGCCCTTCAGACACTGGCGGCTCCTCCCGTGTGTGTGCTGGTGACCTCCTCAATCCACCCTCAGTAAAATGATGGAACTCCACTGACCCCAACCCACATTCAGGATATGCCCCTCGCTCTTCAACCTCTGGCTCCCGCTCCGGCTCCTCTTCTCTCCTGGCCAGGGCTTTCCGTCCTCCCCGAGACGGTCTCACCTCCCTGGGCTCAGGGTCCCTCGACCTCTGACTCCTCTGACGTCTCTCGACTCTAGGCTGGGAGGGCTCTGGCCATCGAAAGGCCTCTCTTAGATGTGCCCTGCAGTTTTCCCAGTCCCGGGCCATGTCTCTGATTTCTAGCCAGCGGCCTTTCCGCCTTCCTGGTCCAGAGTGGTAGCGTCCTTGCACACTCATCTCTCGGTATACCCTGCCCCTGCATGAACCACTCGAAAGCAGGGATGAAGCCTGCCACGTTTCCGATCTCTAGACGGATCGGCCTGCCATCTGGTCCTACAGGCGAGGGTCGCAGTTCCTGCATCCTCCACTCCACCTCTGATCTCGTCGTCGCCTCTCTAAGGATCCGCGCGACGGGCTCCTCGAATCTGCCGACTCCCCTCAGTCCCTCGATTGCTTGGGCCACGGTCCAGCCCATACGCCTCGCATGANGCGACGGGCTCCTCGAATCTGCCGACTCCCCTCAGTCCCTCGATTGCTTGGGCCACGGTCCAGCCCATACGCCTCGCATGATCCCAAAAGCTGTCCAGGAACAGCTCGATGTCCCCATCATCGTATACTGGAGTACTCTCTCGATGGCGAGGCCCATGTCGCTCATATCCTCCTGATGCTCCCAACGGCCTCCGAGGCGGCTGTGTCCCCCTCCCTCCTCTTGGCATGGCTGTCTTCGTAAAGTCAGACCTGCACAACAGGCGAAGGAGACAACAGGCACACATTGGGGTAAGCAAAACAGGCGATAATCAAGCAAACTTCGACCAGACCACACTCACACAGCATACATCCTACCTAGCCTACACATCCTGCTACTTCTATTCTAAAGGCAGTAAGGTCRTCTCTCTTACCTCTTCTCTCGCCACAAATTTCTTCAGTCGCGTTCCAGATACCCAATCCTTCCACTCAGTCCCATTTAGCTCCTCTATCTGATACGCTCCGAAGTCTCCGATCCTTATGATCCGGTAGAGACCTAACCACCTCTTATCGAGCTTCCTGGACCATTGCTTCTCCAGTGATGAATCGTAGAGAAGCACGGCATCTCCAACTGCCAAGGGTACTTTCCTCACCCGCGCAGATTGATCCCATCGAGCCTTATCGTCCATACGACTTCTCGCCACCTGGTCAGACGCCTCCTGGATCCTTTCTTCTATCGCTCCTATCTGCCGCGTCCGAATATCGAGCAATTATTCAAATGACAGGTTAACTTCCAGATCCTGGCGCCTCCATGTCTTAAGAAAACTCTCGATAGGGAAGGTGGTGTGCCTTCCATACTACAATGTCGCCGGTGCGTGCTTGTTGGATTTTTTTATTGTAATGTTCTCGACAAAGAACGCCGCCCTTAGGTATCTTGGCCATTGATTAGGCCTACCTTCGGTCCACTTAGCCAGGAGACTCGTAATGGTACTATGTCCTCTCCCTACGGGAGTATTTGCCTGGGGGTGCGCGGTCGTGGTGTAGTTGGCTGCTACACCATACCTTGATAACAATTCTTGCACCTCCTGGCAGGTAAACTCCGATCCCCTGTCCATTACGAATTCCCTAATGAAAGGGTAACGCAGGTAATATTCCTCGATGCAGCTCACTAAGACTAACCTGTTCTTGGTGCGAATAGCACGCCCGTTTACGAACCCAGACAGGTTATCGCGCGCATCGAAGATATAGTTATAGCCCTGATCCCCAAGTGGCATAAAAAGCAGACCGAGATGCACGACGGCCCCCACCTCTCGCTCTAACCTTGGATGCAGCGGCTCTCCCTGCCTTAAACGGGATCTCTCCTGGCAGGGTACGCAGGATCGACGGAATTTCCCGACCATGTCCATCATTCCATCTCAGTAGTACAACTCACTTATCTTGGCATACGTGGCTTGTACCCCTCGATGCCCTCCAGCAATGCCATCGTGTAGTGCTGCTACGACGTCGATCTGACGATTCCTACCGCAGACGACCCTCCTGGGATTCCCTACTTCTCTTCTCACGAAAAGGTGGCCGTCTCGCACTAAGTAGCGCTGCAGCATCCTCTGAGCCCTATCGCTTGCATCCCTTAGCCGCATTTCACATGACAGAAGAAGCCCCAGTTCTAGGTAGATCCCGTCGTACTCCTCTGCACGAAAAACCTCCTTAATCTCTCCTTCCTCGAACTCGTCGTCTTGGCTCTCGGGCACTTTGTCCACATTTCCTGTCGAGTTCAACGAGTCTGACTGGTCGAGGCCTTCCTGCAATAACGTGTTGACGAGGAGATACATTCCTCCCATCAGGTCCTCATGCCGTTCTACCTGACCAGGTCCTTCCTCAATCGTCCTCATATCCTCCACCAGGCTATGCGAGCTGGTCAGCGCTAGCTCCATCATCCACTGAACATCCTTACCGCCCCAAGGATCTTCTTCCTCAAAGGGCTTAAGGACTAGCTCATTCCTGCTTTCATACCCCTTCGGCGCTTGCCAGATAGGATAGCCTACACAGCTGGGCACTCGCGGCGACCATTTGTTGATATGAAGACGAACATCTTCTTC